GATCGAGTCCTGCATCGGGCTCTCTGCTCCTTGGGAGCCTGCTTCTCCCTCTGCCTCTCTCTCTCTGTCTCTCATGAATAAATAAATAAAATCTTAAAAAAAAAAAAAAGAAAAAAAGAAAAACCCAAGGCCAAGAAAGAATTGATATATTCAAATAACACAACTGAAAAAATATTTTCTCAATGTTCACACCAAAACCTTTTCTGAGACAACCATCTCTTTCTACGTGGAAGAAAGTTTATTTTAATAACATAGTGGAAGGAGGGATAGTAACACAAAGCCTATTTCAGTAAGTACTACTCTAGTCAATAGTATCAACAGTTGCAGTGACTCTTGGGGAAATCTCTTCCTATAATTTACTTACCTCCACTGCCTGCATCTTGCTCTTCGCCTTCAGGAAATGCAACCTGGCTTGGCAAGCTATTCCTCGACCGAGTGACTGTCTCTAACTGGGAAGCCCGGCCCAATAAAGATAGCTCATCTAGCACCTCTCCCTCTTTGGCCTCAAGATCTGATTTGGAAGTGGTTAAGGGTTTTATACTTTCGGGTGCCATCAGCCTACTGGAGTCATTCAAACACGCTACTGTGCCACTGTCCAGGCTCAACACCCGGGCCCGAGTCTTGGCACTGTTTGTGCTGGAAGTCCGACGTGCTGTCCGCTTTTTGCCCGTTCCTTCAGGACCCAGATGGGCTTTGTGTGCATGCTCAGAGTCAGTGCCCCTTTCTTTAGGGACATGTTTGGTCTTGAGGGCACTGTATCTGCCCTCAGGAGACTGGCATGAATGAGAGGTGGTGCTAGAAGAGCTATCACTGCTGAACTGGTGGGCGGACTGAACACTTGATGCTCTGCTCAAGTCACTTTGGTCGCTAGAGTCCTCATCGTGACAGAATATAGCACTATGTGGCTTTGTACCAGCAACACCTCGAAAGGAAACATAGTCCCTATGCCGACTTGAATCAAAACTGCTGGCCCGTTTTTTTCCTGTCCGTCTCCGGCCTGATTTATGGGCAGAGGCTGTCCGGTGGATCAAGCTAGACGATTTAGGTCGTACATCCCCCTCCTTTTGCTTTCCACCACTGTCTTTAGCAACTTTTGAGTCCACTGAAAGAGCGGACTTATCACTCTGCTCCTCTTTGTTTTCGGCAGTTTTCTCGAGGGGTCTGTCCCCCTGTGACGTAAACTCATTTGCATGGGGATTTTTATTGGCTTCTTCAGATGCAGAGGTGGTGAGATCTCTCTGATTGTGCATATCATCGGAGGTATTGGAATCCTTGGCCTCTTGAACCCCACTGTTGGTACTTCCTTCCAAGGCAGTCTTTTCACTGCTAGTCCTTTTGTCAGTGGTACAGCTGCTCTTGCCCTCTGGGTCAGCACAGCCCTCCTTCTTCCTGCCACTTTTCTTTCCTACTCTGGGACACTCCTCATGCTCTGACAAGATGCTCTCTATGTGAGTTGAGCTGGTCTGCTCACTTTTGTAGCTACTGACAGTACTGTTGGTGTCTCGGTCCGTTCCACTGCAATAGCTCTCTGTCGACCCGCTACTCCGGGTGCTCAGGCTCCTCAGGCTATCCATGCTTTTGTCTGCTTTCAAAGGTTTGCTCTTCCCACTTTTTGTAGGTGGCTGAGAACTACTGTTTTTCAGCTCACCAACAAGCTGAAATTCTCCAGACAAACAAGAATTTTCTACCAAGGATTCTTTGGATCCGGAATGAGGCTTGGAAGATTCTAACTCACTAACTGGATCTAACCCCCGTCTTTGCTGATAGAGAGGGAAGTCATTCAGTGAAGTGTCTGGAAAAGCCACAGCAGAGCTAGAAGTCCGTGGTACACCTCGTGGCCGGTGATCTTTCCTGTAAGAGTGTGAATGTAAAGGGACGAGAGAAGCTACTTCTGTGTCACAGGCGTTGGACAGAGACTGATCAATGTGGTGGTGGTGGCTGTGACTCGGCAAGCTCACTTTGTCACTGAAGTCCCTTGGTAAGTCCTGTCCACAGGAAGATAAGGAAGGCTGAATGGAGATGAAGGAATCATTGGAGACTAGACGGAAGAGCTTCCGATCAGTTGCCAGATCTGTTTCAAACACATATTTGGAAATGTTAACACAAATCTATCATCTGCTTTTCTACTGTTTAGCAATGGAAAGAACTCACAGCATACGGTAAATCAAGGAAAAACAATTTCCCAAGTAGTTCACTGAATAAAAGTTGGCCAGTCATTCCAAAGAGCGAGTTTCTATTTCACAGCTGCACAAAGAAAGCATTCTATTGACAGAATGAACTGAACTTCTAAATCCTCGAATGACCAGAGAAAAGGTTCCAGAGACTATCAACAATAAGAGGCAACATAGGATTATATTTAAAACAGCCCTGGATTTTTTCTTTCTTAAAGATTTTATTTGAAGTAATCTCTATACCCAACGTGGGGTTTGAACTTACAATCCCAAGATCAAGAGTCGCATGCTCCACCGACTGAACCAGCCCCGCTCTCCATAAAGCGGCCCTGGATTTTTATGTGAAGTCTGTCTCTAGCTTACTAACTGCATAGCCCTGGGTTACCTTTGCAAGCCTTGGTTTCCTTATCTATAAAATACAATCTCAATATCACTAAGCAGTACCATGAAATAACTGAGTTAATGTGTTTTAGCATATACATTGCTTAGCACAATGCCTGACATGATTAACAGCAGCTATCATTGTTTTACTTCACTAACACAGTACAAAAACTTTTTTGAAAAACTAATGCGATTATCTTA